GGAAATAATTACCGGACTTTGTTATTTACAGAAATTGCCACAGAAATTATTTTCACGGACATAATTATTCATTCCAAGGTCTTTCAGCGTGAAAGTAATTCCCGTGACTATTATGTCCGATAAGGTAAAAGAAAACATAAAACCCGGGAAAATTATTCAGAAATTAACTTTTTTTAACTTTCAATGAATTATGATTATTTGCTCGACTGATGGACTCAATAAAATTTGACTCAATAAATGGTAAACCGAAATATAAAACTTTAGATTTTATACGTTGAAAGAATACTTACAAAATAAGAGAATTAATTTCGTAATACAACGAAGTTTATTTAAACGTTGCCCAATATTATTCACATTTCATTAACTAACTTTCGTGACACGATGTACAAATTTACAGAGTTGAGATATCATTGTCTTTTATGAGCCTCTTGACGACAATGTAGTTCCATAATTACATTAACTTGTCTGAATTATAATTTCATTAAAATCGGGATATATCAATATTTATGTACGGAGATTAAAAGGTTGTGAGTTGTGACCCACATGCACAATGAGACCTATAAAATTTGTCTATAATAAAGTCTGAGGAATTGTAAGGCCACACTCATAAACTGAGAGTTTCAGTTTAACACTCCCGGGATAGTTTTTAAACACCTTGTTGAGATGGGAACAAATTCTCAGCTGTTAACAACTCTTCATCACCTGGAGTAATAAGTTAACACTGATTCTCAGAGACGCTACAATCCTCTCAAATTAGACGTAATATGTAATAATTCACAAAACCATGTTAAAACACAAACTTGGATAGTCTATAAAAAGTAACTCTAGACCTCACAAGTTTTCCACCCACGACGAAAACCTCACAGATTATCTTGGCGGGCCGAGTGATGATACAATTATTCGAACCAGTTTATAAATAACTGCTGGTTTTAAATCTCGCTCATAAGCTGGCTCTGCAGTGACGTGTGCGCCTTATCATTTGACATTCTCATCTCATATTTATTAGCATTAGACCTGGGGGGCAAGATCGATCTTACAAAACCTGACATTTCACGCAAGTGACGTTAATGAACGAAGTATTTCAATCATTATAGATAACGTGTGCGCATGTTGTATTGTAGTCATTATTATTACTAAATGTTGCGGTAAACGAAATATTTACACATTATTTTATTACATTGACTAAACAGCTTCCTGCACAGAAGCACTGCAGCCTAGCTGTAACTTTTTTTTAGAAAGAATTTAGCAGTGGATATTATGTGTGTACATCAGGGGACTGTAAAATTTAAGCATTCTATTTATATACTCCTTTATAATATAAGATAATCACGTCACATTATAATGTAGGTATTCTCCTAAAATTCAAAGAATTATTTTACGAAGTATCTATTACGGGTATCGGCCTTACAAAATGACACGAAAAAGGAGATGGCTCTGAAATGCACAAAAATGAGTTTTGTTCATGTTTTATTATCCAGATAGGTAGTTCAACAGGTATATTTTTCTTCCCGGGGGTTGATTTGATTGAAAAACCGTAAATTTTGCGATAAAAATTGTCATCTTTGAAATCTTCCAAAAAAACATGCCTTACAAAATGACAATTTCGTCACGGCAGTCATTTTTAAACAGCAGCCTATAGAAATTTGATTTCACCTAGGACAGTTAGATAAATATAATAGATTGAAGATTAGAATAGCTTTTACAGGAAAAAGGATGATTAAAAAAAGTTGGGCAATTTCGCGTGAGATAGTGCCTTACAAAATGACAACCCAAAACGGCATCACTTCAAATCCGATTTGGGAAAAAGTTTCATTATTCTTTCACGTGTCTTACTGTTAGATATATATGTTGTTTATATTATACCAGTTCTGTTTTTACCAGAATATATAAAAAAAGGAACATTTTTTATACTTTGAAAAAATTTTAAAAATGTCATTTTGTGAGGCGTAAAAATCATTTTTTGTTTTCATACTTGAACACAGTATTTGGTTATATTTGATATTTTCTATGACTGGATAGATCACTTCTCAGTGTTTAGTTAACGTTTGACATGTTTTAGGAGTTGTTATTACTCTCTGCTTTCACAAAATAGAAGCTTTATTTTGTTGAGTTTTGAAATCAGAGTTTGAAATCAAAGAGTTTGAAATCAAAGTTTTGATATCAGAACTGCACTTTTTTAATGCTACTTGATTGTTAACTGTCAGATTATGATTATTTTAACTCCTTCTTGTATTGAATGTTTCTGATCCATTTTAGATGATGAAAGTAATTCAATCTGAAACATTGTCATTTTGTAAGGCTTTTCGGTGTCATTTTGTGAGGCATTTTGATCAAAATTGATGATCAAACAAACACATTTAGGCTCATCATAAGCTTACTGGGTTTAAGAATACCAATAATTAGGCAAGGGGCATCCAATATAAATATGCCATCTTTGTATCATAAAATAAAACTGTCATTTTGTGAGGCATAACACTGTCATTTTGTGAGGCTAGGTCATTTTTTTGTCATTTCTTCTACCAAAGTCAGTAAATCAGTTTTTTTATTTGACCAAAGTAGTCTTTGATTGACATAAGTCATGGGAGTACCTGGTTTTCTGGGGTTAAATTCTAAACTTTGGTCTCCATTCTGGGTAACAGTTAGGCGGGGCAATGACTGAACAGCAAAAACGTCCATATTTATGTAAGAAATATAGATTCTATGTCATTATCATTCCTTGGGAAGTGTTAATTAATGCTTTTTCTTTCATACAGTAAAAGGAATAGAGTTCAATGTATAGGGAACCTAAGCTACAGCATGGTCTATGTGGGCTGTCATTTTGTGAGGCCTGTCATTTTGTAAGGCCGATACCCGTATATATATATATTATTCAATTATTATTATTATTTATAGCACTTGAGTGGTATATCTTACAAAAGGGCTGTTTCAGCGAATAGAGTTTCATGAGAACAGCTGTTAATATAAGATAACCCCGTGACAGCAAAATAATGATGAATTGCGTTCTGTGAGCCGTGCTACTCTGCTTATTAATAGAGATCAGAGATGTAGAGATTAGTGCAAAGTACAAAGGTCACTCAGCTGCAGCACAATAGAGCTTGACATCGTCACAAACTTTCTAATCGAATTTGTGGGCAATTATTTACGTCACAACATCTTAGTACGGTATTTTACTTGTAATTCTCAATGAACATGTCTTGTATCGGGATCAATATGCATAGCCCGCCACCAATTAGCCTTAACTAATGACGTGAGCATTAATTTGAGCCATTTCCACCAATCACTGAAGTTTGGAGTCATTAAAATGAGGCGAACGATAAATTTTCTTGGATTCGCATGATCGTGTATATTGAATACATGACAGTAGGCACTCCTATTCCAATGGAACTCTAGCTGCGTTTGAAATATAAGCCTATTCCTGTAAAATTGTTGCTTCAATATTAAAGCTCTTTAATCGTATATTTATTTTTCACCCGTTGATTTATTTCTTCCGAAGTTTTGATTTAAAGGACCAATGCATTTAAATTTTAACAATGCTTTTGAATTAGAGAAGCCAGTAAATTAAGTTTACAAAATTAAGAAGCAAAAAAATGTATACTTTTTTGCTCTTTTCCTTTAATTTCTGTATCTTTAATTAATTGTTGCAGTATTTTAATGCAAAGCAGACGTTTTAGGGTGTGAAATGTAATATTTTGTAAGTGGCGGCAACTGCACGACCTATTCTGTGTGGGGTCTACTAAAGTGCATCGCCGTCAGCTAGGCTATACTGCGGCGCCTACTGGCTTCACTACCGTTAGCGCTTGGCTTGATATCAATGGCTAGCTAGATCTAGCTGGTCGGCATGTCCAACATTTTGTGCTTCAGTAGTTACTAGTCAGTACTTAATTCTCATTATTATCTCAACCATGTGAAACTGTAAGGTTGTAAAAAAAGTCCTACAGGATAATCGTTTTCAAGTCACATAAATTTCCTGGTATAACTCCACTTATTTCTTTTTTGACGATGGACGGGCTTTTTTAAATAGATGTAAAACGCGCGCGCTGATTTCTGTATATTCGCAGCGCACGCGCAGCTAGCTCAGGTATACCGGTAGCCACTAAATAATTTTTTAATTTTGTATCAATTTAAATACTATGAAGAATGTCCCGTCATATTAATCCGTTTAGCAATAGAAAAAAAAATTTCCACCTCGACCAGTGTTTAAATAAAACAAATATTTTAATAAAACAAATATTTATTTTTACGGCACAATCAAACAATATCAATAATAAATAAATCAGGGGAGGTTTGAAGAGGTTTCAAGTGCCGAAGGCCACTGCTTATCTTTAGGATTTGAGAGTGACCTGTGCTTGAAACCCCCTCAACCATCCACTACGTCAATATACTTATTATACAAATATAGAAAAATATAATAATCTAAAATTACTTATTGGTTTAGTTTGGTGACAAAGGAGAGCCCAGTTGAGTTTTAGTTTAGCTTTAGGTTTTGAATCACAGTTTAAAAGGTTAGCCATGTTTCATGGCAGAGAGAGATATCATGTGTGCATAGTCGTACCGGATGTAGAGTTTGAGATATAATATAGATTAGTTACCGAGATGTATTAGGGTCATCTCGATTTTGGAGGGATAGCAAGTGCTTTTTAAGGTTAGATTTAATAACACCTGACGAAGCTGATAAGTCTGAATTCTTGGAAGAACCCGGGATTATTATCCCATCTACATTAGCTGTTGAACCTATTGAACCTATGTTGTGTTGTAACGAATAAAAAACATTACTACACTAACCATGATTATAGCTCAATAGCTGCACGTTGTTTTCTTTTGATTTCCTTATAAATTGAGTTGCAATACGCGGATTTCCATGGAGTTGTAACAAGCTATTGAATCGAATCTGTTCTCTGTTAAACGTATTATTCATTAAGAGATCCGGTCACGTACTTCATATCCGAGCTTCACGGAGTTCACCGGTCACAACAATCAGCTCACAATCTAACAATTTTCAGAGTTTATATGTGCACTGTCCGTGACGTCGAGAGGAAAGCTTGAGGATAAACTGAGATGGGCTTTCAGCATGTACGATCTTGACGGAAATGGGTACATCTCCAGAAATGTAAGAAGTTCAAATTTTCCAGAATTGTACCTGAGATGATGTGATTACAATTTATGTTCATTTATATTTGACCCTTCAATTCCTGTAGTGCAGTATGCACCATTCACTGCAGCAGACTATATTTTATTTTTAATGTGAACAGGGTTATGGGAAGGTTGGGATACCAACGAAAGATTGGGATACCAACGAAACATACTGCACACTTATGGCTTAGCAACAGATATCTCATTGCATAGGTCATTTAACTCGTAATCTAATTTCAGGAAATGTTAGAAATAGTGTGTGCTATCTATAAAATGGTGGGAACTGTGATGAAGATGCCTGAAGACGAATCAACACCTGAGAAAAGGGTTGACAAGATTTTCAAACAAATGGACAGGTAAGGACGATATATTTAACGGCTTTTAGTTTATGATGTTACTCAAAATTCTTCTATATGAACGTATCATTGAACGCTGATATTAATTTATTATGACAATTTAAGGCCATTTAACGCCATTTTAAAAACAGGTGGAAGACTTTGAACCGTTTCTGAGATATAGTTCTGCTCATTTGAGGCCCTCTGTATATGTTACAAAGACCCTTGAAAAATAGGTCTCCAGAATTCTTAGCATTCCACAAAATGTGTCTTGAAAATGAACATCGCCTAAGTTTACATAGAGCTTTCCATATCCAGGAACAATGATGGTTTAGTTGATTTCACGGAATTTTTGATTGGTGCCAATGCAGATAATGAAATAATTATGAGGTAGTTATAAACTGTTTCGGGTGATACTTGAAGTCGCTAGATTGGACGTGTGTAGCTCTCTAACAACAATGTTTCTTGTTGGAGAGTGTATTTTTCGTGGCTGTTTCCTGGTTGACACACTTCTGGCAGCATGAGCTCTGATCGCATGATAACACGTGGCAGCTAACCTCACTCATCGTGATCTCACCGTAAAAACGAGTTTTAACTTTTGCAACCTGCGCAATATTATGTTAGCGTGAAGTTCAGAGGAATTAACCTCGAATTCTGTATGTATATCGTTCCATTTCGTATACATATATAATTTCGTTCCATTTCGTATGTAATGTTTGATGTAGTGTCCACAGCAGCTGTTGTTAACAGCGTCTGGTGTAGTTAATTAAAACAAATATCTCTCGTTTAAGCTCAATAATATTCTCCCGTTTATCAAAGTTAGGTTGTTATTATGTTTTGTTGTCTCAAGAATGAAAGAATTCACGGGAATTTCAAATTCAAAACCGTTCCGTGGCACGGTTATACGATCGGGCGTACGACTGTCATTTGCCGTAATAGTTTCTGTGTTCGAATATAATGATAGAATTTCAAGATAAAGTGTAGCATATTTTGTAATACTGATAACAGATTCGTAAGTGTAACATTTGAACTGAGGTTCTTAATTAATCATCAAGAAAAAAAACGCCCGTCCTCTTCTATTTCTGTCTCTTAGTAAATCCCTGATAAACGTGCTAACTTCTAGTGGACATGATTTCAAACTACTCATTCTGAATTTGAAACCCTGATGATCCTAAATTTCGATCCTCATCCGATCCTCTCATCCTGTCCGCATTTCACAGGAACCTTGACGGCAAATTGTCGCTAGCCGAGTTCGTGGAGGGAGCCAAGAGCGACCCCAGTATCGTAAGATTACTACAGTGTGACTCTGTTGGTGGATCTGCTGAGGCGTCAAACTAGCGAGAGGTAACGTTATTATACTATTACTATATTAATATGTACACTATACTGATACACTATTGCATGCAGTTTTACCATTTGTCATATCTTAATACTATTTTTTCCAGTATATTTAATACTAATATTTTAACATTCAATAGTACTATTTTCATAATTTGATTCTAATATTGTCACCGATTGTAAGCCATAATCTTTCACCGGCTATTGGAAATGATATTGATGAGAGTTGAAAGCTATGTAGTTAGTAGACTAATAATCTTCCACCGGAGGAGTTGTCATCAAGCCAAAATGTTCAACCTCTCATTTACAAGGCTTAATTACAATATTGCTACATTGGTCCATACTCCATATTATACTAGTACAGTGTGGCCCAAAAGTAACTGCCCACACGCAACCCTTTAATAAATCACGTAATTCTTCTTAGAATTGCACAGAAATTTCAGAGATTATAGATATTGGTCAAACTTAGATTTCCTGAAAGTTTCGTAAAATTTAATTAATTACAGTGGGTGTGGCACGCCACTACCTCTTTTTCACTATTTCACCATGAAGTGAGAACGCTTTCAGCTATGAACTTCAAAGTTTCTAGACACATTTGATTTGATAATTGAAGTGCTTTCCCAAAATTTCAAGTTGATCGTTCACAATTTAACCGAGTTATGACTCTTTTAAGATATTGCAGATACGTGAACTTGGCACTTAATCAGTCATTCCGTTACCCAATCAGTAATCTCATCGGGAGCTATTCGCTAGCGAGCAACATTGAGCCTCATTAGGCGGTAACGAGCATGTTTGTGGATGACGATATGATCACTTTGAGTTAATACTGATAGTGATAGTGACGTTCCTTAAAACCGCGCTTCGGTTGCTGTCCTATAAGTGAAGATATCACTGATTGAGTGCTGGATCACGTATCTGTAAGATCTTAAAAGGGTCATAACTCGGTTAAATTGTGAACAACCAACTTGAAATTTTGGGAACGCACTTCAATTATCAAATCAAATGTGTCTAGAAACTTTGAAGTTAATAGCTGAAAGCGTTATCACTTTATGGTGATATAGTGAAAAGGAGGTAGTGGCGTGCCACACCCACTGTAATTAACTAAATTTAACGAAACTTTCAGGAAATCTAAGTTTGACCAATATCTATAATCTCTGAGATTTCTGTGCAATTCTAAGAAGAATTACGTGATTTATTAAAGGGTTGCATGTGGGCAGTTACTTTTGGACCACCTTGTAATCTGTATATATAATACTTCATTATCAAGGGGAACATTTTGTGGTCAACCAATCTTATGGAAGATGATGAGTCCACCATGGGAATTAGCCACCAGTAAACATTAGCCATTTCTGAACCCAAATATTAATTGCAATACAATTCTCGGACAGAAAAATCGAGCCTAAAATGAGAGTTGATATGTATTTTTGAGAGCAACCGGTGGTAAATTTAAGTTGGGAGAGCAATTTACGTGATAGGCAATGTTATTATAATGGAGCTGTCATTATGTATTTCTCTAGGGTTAAATGTTCAAGTTAAGTAATTTAGTAACCGATATTTAAGTGGCCAATGTTTTAGTGAGCAACATTTTTGCGACCAATACAATGTATTAGTAACGATAGTAACCATATCTTGTCCTCAGGTATCGTAAAGAGGTGCATACCCTCAAATATAAAGTTATTTGGTTGCCATGGTCTTCGGATGGCCGCTGCTATGGAATTACGGACAGTTTCATCTCAAGTTTTTACTATCTACAAACTATACATTATATATTACGAATATGTAATCTACATATATAATTCTTAGTGTAATCTTTAGTGGTTGTCAGGAAAATCTTAGAATTTTCTGTGACATGTATATCTCTAGTCTCTGATGAAGAGCGCTTCTGCGATTGTGGGTTTATCTTCTCCTACTTTAGCTAATCTTGAGCTTAAGATGAAATTTTTGTCGACCGTTTTTTTTTTCGAAAGCCTCAAAATTTCAAGGCATGTTTGATTGTGGTGTGGAATTTGCTATATATGAGATTATTTAATACTTTAAGTTAACGTAATTATTATAGGAATCCCAAATATTACTCGTTGAATTTCGATTCCGTCGTCCACTAATGACTGTAAAACGTCTGATATAAGGGGATGCGATGAATATTAATGGTTGATGACAAATTGTAATAATTGATTGGCTCTAAGAGTGAGATTTGTCATGTTCGTGGATGATCAAAATACCTCAAAAAATGCGACAAAGTAACCCTTTATTAAATAGATTTATTTGAATTTAACGTTTATCATTTATAGTGTTATTTTGGTAGCGTTAATGTCTACTCTATTTTGTAATGATGCTAATATCTGATATCAGTTACTCCCTAATTATTGACTCACTCATAGCATTTGTAATTATCACCATGTACTGGCATTACTCCATTTTCAGATCATGCATATACTCAAGTAAATATATTGCCGACTTGAATTTTAAACTTAAAATCACACTTTGATTCTCTCTGTGACTCATAATAGAGCTCCTTAACAGTAACACCTTGGTTTTAACATCCAGAATTGTTCCCATCTCTCCATGACTCATGCTAGAAAGTTCGTTTAATTGTTGCTTTGTGAATCTACTTAGTAAGACTTGTGTCAATTGTAAATATTAAACAACTATCAAGCGAACAGTTATTCGGGTGTTTTCATTGTTTTGTAATATAATTATTATCCCCGTCTAGGCTTCTATATTCGTCATCCTGCAGCTGCCTAGCTGCTGCGTGACCGTCGTGCTCAACATGCAACATTGTCCCACGACGCCAATCTGCCAAGGACCAGTTTAGGCTATTATGTTCATAAACATAGAGAAACAATAGAGATTCGGCGGAATGACAGGCTGAGCGCGGCCCAGTAAGGACCCAGTGTGCGCTACTTAGGGGTCGTTCACATATTACGTAATCAATTTTTCACCCCTCCACCTTCCCCCTCCATAATCAGTTTTACACATAGCCACATGGCGTTAACATATGACGTCAGCAGCCGAGGGGGAGGGGGTTTGAAAATGCTGACCGAGGGCCGGGGAGCTAGGGGGGTCTGAGCTTTGCTCATTTGTCATTGCTGACGTCAGCAAAAATACGTGCATTTTGGCAACAATTTTTGTTTCGAATCAATTTGATTAATATTAGCAATAAAACCGTCGCTAATAAAGTTCATCAAGGTCACTGATGCGGACTTTGCTGACGACCTTGCTCTTATAACAGATAGTGTTGCGGAGGCACAAGATTTCCTCAGGAGTCTGGAACTGGCGGCCAACTCAGTTGGACTCCACCTCAACGAGGGAAAACTAAGTACATGGGAATCAACATAAGAGATGATGATAACCCGACTCTGGTTGCTGGGAGTGGGAAGAACATTGAGAAAGTCGATGACTTCGTATATTTGGGTAGTAGAATGAAGAGTTCGGAGAAGGACTTCGAAGTGAGGAAAGCTAAGGCATGGGGAGCGTGTCACCAGATGAAGCTTGTATGGAAGTCGGATATATATGCGTAGCGATCTCAAGATACGACTGTTCCTGGCTACAGTCGAGTCCATCCTTCTATATGGCTCTGAAACATGGACTGTCAGCCAGACCCTCGCAAAACGTATTGATGGATGTTATACGAGAATGCTGAGGATGGCACTGAACATTGACTGGAAAGAGCGGCAGACTATAAAAAATATATATATAATAGTCAGTGTAATAAGCGCCAAGCGCGAGCACAGAACTTTTTTTCTCCGATTTCGATAAATTTGGTACCAAAAGTTGTCTAAAAATGTGAATAAAATAAATCCACCGTGTAGCAATTTTCGCTAAAAATGCTACATGGCGCTTGTTCGCCGCGCGTGCTTTTTTCGCGCAAATTTTTAGTTTTTGGCCTATAACTTTCACATTTTCAGTTATTATCACATAAATATTATGGCATCGTAATCAGCTTATCGAGACGAAACTTTTAGTACTAATATTTTAAGATTTAAAGGAAATTATTTTCAAAAATTTTTTATCTGAAAACAAGGGTTCCCCCCTTGTATGTTGTGTGAAATTTTGAACAAATTTTTGAAAATTTTTGTTCTTCAAATATTATAATTTTGGTACTAAAAGTTGCGTCCGACTAAGTTCATTACGATCCTGTATGAGTATTGCTGAAAGCACAGTGTAAGGCCTACACGGACCACCTCTAACTTGCCAATCCCTGTTTACATGCCGTGTAGCAGGGGACTAGATAGAGCTAAATTAGTATGCGGGGCATAGCCAATACACTGTACTCCCATCATTGAGTATATTACCAACCAAAAGGAAAATTTCCTTGTGTTTGGAATCTACTAAGACGAAAGTTGTGCAATCCAGCGAAATTCCGAAGAATCATTCCAGTAGACTAGGCGCATTGCAACCACAGCTACGGATATACGTATGAGTATTGCTGAAAGCACAGTGTAAGGCCTACACGGACCGCCTCTAACTAGCCAATATGAATTATTTCAAAATATTCAATATGATAGGAGTTATAGGCATTTTAAGCAATAAATTACCCATTTTTCGTCCTTTGTACACTCTTGCGATGCACAAAAGGCCCACATACAGCTCGACGTTATCGTGCTACACGGTGAATTTTCATTATTCACACTTAGAGGCAACTTTTGGTACCAAATTTATCAAAATCAGAGACAAAAAATTCTGTGCCAGCTCATGGCGCTTATTAGTATTACATAGACTATAAGGTGTATGGACAAGGTGTATGGACACCTCATCAGAGCATCTGATAAGATAGCTGCACGGAGGATGAGACTCGCAGGTCATTTAGCCAGACATGAAGAACTATTGAGTCATCAACTTCTCTTCTAGGAACCCCTTCAAGGACATCGTCGAAGGGGAAGACCACATCTCACATACATTGACATCCTTCGGAAGGACACGGGGCTTGACGACAGCAAAGGGATTAACAAACTCATGCTGGATAGACAGATTTGGAAGAAGACTATTTCTGTTCGGACGCTGAAGCCGCCCTAAGTCGAGTCGAGTAAGTCGTAATATATAATATCCCTAATAGTAATATTAGTACTTTGGTGAACTAAACTCTGTTGACCATTGACCATCTGTTTAAGTTTAACTCAGACGCACACACTTAAATTGTCCCTGCCTGCACAGACCGCTCCTACTAAATCGCTCGCCCAAATTTAATGAAAATTCTTGTGAAAAGGCCCTTTGAGTATGAAATTGAGATGAATCGGTGCATTTTTGGACGCTGATTCCGAATCACCCCCGATGACGTAGGGTAAAAATGCTTCCGGCCCTCGAGAGTTATGGACAAAAAACCGTTTTGGTCACGTGACAGGCTTGACGGATGTTACTCGTCTAAATTTCTTCGAAGTAGCGCGCGCCGCTTTCTTCTCGAAATGGCAAGAGCTACGAAGTAGCGCGCGCCGGGCCAGATCATTAACAATGGTCAGGTGACAGGCTAGTAGTAGTAAAACATGAATTCGATTGTTTAGGGCTCTATATGGTTAGGATTAGGATTTATGTAAAACCGTTTTGTACGGCTGCAAAACCATAAAAATCGAAGTCACGTGAAATTTTTGGGCGAGCGAATTAGTACCCCTCGCAGTCGCTGGCTGACGGGAGGGGTATGTATTAAGTAAGGGGGTCTCGCAAATGCTGACGTCATTGTGGAGGGGGTAAAATTGGCCAAAATCTTGCTGACGTCATATATGTGAACGCTCCCTAGTCATTTGGAAACCCCCGGCGCCCGGCTGATTATACGTAATATGTTACACAAGTATCACCCGTTTTATATTTTTCTGCTAGGCAACAGTTCCAGCTCCGAATCTGGTCTTCGAAGTTCACCTAACCATGTGCTTTCGCGCCACTGCGGGCGGGCGCCACTGCAAGCGCAAAGGCTCTGGATATTAGAGCGAACTTCAAAGCAAAACAACCATGACATTATTATTATATACAACGCAACGCCTTCCAAATAAAAGTATGGAAGTACATTGGAGGACTTCGCTGCTTCGACGCGCCACGCAAACTAGCATTAACTTGCTTCGCATCGAATAGTCGAATCGTAAAGCAACGATCTCGATGGGTTGACATCGTCAATCAAGGAAGTACACTGGTACATTACCTGGGGACCTCAACTTCAAGTGCTACGAAGTAGCACGCGCCGGGCTAGTCCATGCATTAACCATTAACAATGGTCATGTGTCATGCGCGGAATCTCTAATAAATATATGTTTAGGAACATTCTAGCCTGTAGGGTACCATGTAATCGTTAACGTCAATCAACGTGATTAAATTGTAGCATGTAGCAATGCATTATTGGTCGCCGCTACGATCAGCTGTGCGAAGGATTGACATCACGTCAATCTTAATTGACGATGTCAATCCTTTTTGTATCACGTTGCGACCCCCACGGTACAGGGGAGCCGCGCACTTCGTGCGCGGCGGGTCATACAACGTATGACAAAATCCTTCGAAGCTCGGTGCAGCCGATCACGCTTCAACGTTTCACATAGCCATGTGTATACGCGTACTGCGTGACGCGCTTGTTTCACAAGTAGAATGCCGCCTTCGGCGGTCGCGCGCTACTGCAAGCGAGAAGGCTCTGGTTAGAGCAACTTCAACGTCAATCAAGCCGGCGCACTATACTGGGTACCAGTTTACTGGTCCGCGCTCAGCTTACCTGGGGACCTCAGGATATTATGTTCATAATAGAGATTCGGCGGAATGACAGGCTGAGCGCGGCCCAGTAACGCTCAGCCCGTCATTCCGCCGAATCTCTATGTTTATGAACATGATAGCCTGAGGTCCCCAGGTAAAGTAACTCTGCAGTATCACCTAGTCAAGGGAGTAGCTAAGAATCCATTGGATCTTATATGCAATCTTTGACGGATGTTACTCGTCTAAATTTCTTCGAAGTAGCGCGCGCCGCATTCTTCTCGAAGTAGCGCGCGCCGGGCCAGATCGTTAACAATGGTTAATGCAATCTCCTCGGTCTACTTTGTCATACGTTGTATGACCCGCCGCGCACGAAGTGCGCGGCTCCCCCTGTATCGTCAGGACATAGTGAAACGACCGTGGGGGTCGCAACGTGATACAAGGTCTACTCAGCTGGATGATAGGAAACTAGATTTAGGGTTAAATGAGGAGAGGTACCTGTTAAAATGTCAAAAAAATCCCTAGGATATCCCTTCAGTACATACTGTAAACATAGTACTATTAACTATTAACTATTAATTAACGGGTGATACTCGTAAAATATCTGTTCCATATATTGGAGTCCAACTCGGCGCGCGTCCTGTTAGGTTGTAAACCTACAAACTATTAACTATTAACTTATTCAGAAAAGACAATTCTTGATAAAAGACAATGATGTTGAATGATGAATGCAGTAATAGTGGCTCCTTTGGCTTCTTAAATCCGTTTGTCGGAGTATTTAACATAACATTATAAATAATGCCTCTACTATGGGCATCTCAAAAAGAAATTCATAGAAAATGAACACTTTACGTTTGAAACCATATCACATATAATTACAAACTTTTAAAAAATTCAACTAAATACCTTTGATATTAACCTTTTTCCTTTTAGCTACCAATGGATTCTCTTTCATAAATAAAATACAATTTTTAATTTTCACAGAAGAATCAATACATATTGAATTATAAATATCCGATAATTCCATTTATAATCATTAAAAGTTGCTTTTCCATTTGTAAAATCAAAAACGAAAAGCCGTACGTTACTGGGCCGCGCTCAGCCTGTCATTCCGCCTAATCTCTATTCTATTATGTTAATGAACATAATAGCCTGGGGTCCCCAGGTAAGCCGTACGCTGAACGCGCGCGGCATTTTTTCTGTAGCTGCCTAACTTGTAGCCGCTAACGTCAAAGCCGCCGCGCGCGCCGAGTGCTGGGGTGCATTCTCATTGACAATTAAACTTGGTCAAAGATATTTATATACAATTCCTAAATTAAATCAATAATCATGTTAATATGAGTATTCAACACTACTCGACAACAAATATTTGCCAGCCCATCGACGATTGAGTCGCCGAAACAAAAATCAAATGTTTGCTTTTTCGTTTCGGGAACTGTTTGAACTCAGTATTATATCCGACTAATCATACTTTATAATGGTTAAAAAACAAAGTAAAAAGATTTTCCTCGATGGGCCGGCATTCGCAAACGATGACACCACCATCAGCCCTTAATTGATAAGTCCATGGGTGACGGGATAAAATAAGATGTGTAATTTCATATTGCCTATCACCTATCACCTAAGTTACTTTGTATATACTGCTTCTAGTTACACGATAGCGATCTCAGCTCCCAATAACGTGTGACCCAACAGAAGGGATTGTGGAAGGACACGTACATTTTTCATTAACACCTGCCCTGATTACCCCTCCGTTGAGCTACTATACGGGGAACGTTGATCGCCAGTCTGTTGTCAGATCGTTAATAAATTTTAATTTAAAATTGGTTGCCGGGCGATGGTGTTAGTGAGAGACGTTAAGTTGGGTGAACATTGGTACACAAATATAATAATATAGCAGTTTATCTCTAAGTTAAAATCACTATTTGTTAAAGTATACAAACAGTTCCATTCAAAAGAACAAAGTCCGAGAGCAGAGAGCAGATTTGGAGACTATACACGCACATAAATCAAGAGGCCTGCATATAATGAACATATGCGGGGTTTAAATTTGGTATTAGTAATTTTAGGGTTCGACCGAAAATGTTGGTCGGTTGGTTAATAGGGAGCAGTCACTGTCATTAGAATTATCAGATTAGGAGCAACAATTAGAATCAAATTGGACATAATGTGTATTGTGGCCCAGAAATCAGTGAAACATAGAATGGCAGTAAAATGCTAGCGCGCCTTGTTATGCGCGCTAACATACTTAGCGCGCATAACTTACATAACTATTCCTATTAGACACAGACACATCTATCCTATCAAAGATGTCATATGAAATTTAAACTATCTTATTTGATGTTTTTCGACAGCTGTCCCACATATAATACTTGTAAATGAATAGTGAAGATGGTTTAGAAAATTTCGAAAGGAAAAGTGTACTTGTATAGGCTGTGGACTGGTAACCTGTTTTGCTGCATGCTTATTCGACCTCGTTTTAAACTTTTCTAGGTGAGCTTCTTTAATGACCTCCAAACAGAATTCTTATACATTTTTTTCTGTGTTTTAAAGAGGAGGTCAAGTCGGTTATTGCTAATACAACCCCATACAGATAATCCAAACCCAGTGTGCGATTCAAATAGAGTTTGATATAGATCCTTAAAGTACTCCTTTAGGACAAGTTTGTCGTATTCTTCACAGATTTCCTACTTCCTATTTCAGTTGCTTTGACCTCGTGATAATGATAATAGAATGATAATATAAGTGCGGAAACCCTCACATACCATACGATTTTCCATGTGATGCATTGTTTAATTCACTTGCCACTTGCTACTTGCATTGAGCTTCTTGAACTACAGTTATTGAGCAATCTAAGGATCATTTAGAAGAGATTCCATAGACAAAATTTTGGGATAGGCCTATGAAATTGCTTCCTTCGGTTTTGAAAATTTTTGACCTATTTTTTGACGATTTTTCTACTAAAAAACCTGGAAAGTTTGAGGCTGATTGCTCCATAGAAGAAGATTTCTAGACTCGATTTTCAATAAGTGTGAATGAAAATCATAATACAATTACTAATAAGTGCTGACCTTTGACCGGCACGCTGTAGCAATAAATTCGGCTAAGAAAAATATTGAGCAATGGTATCAAAAGCAGCTGATGGATATTACTGCCTTTTATTAGAAACAGCTTAAAAGTAGAGAAAATTTCCATGAGGACTCATCAAATTTAAACCATAGTAGAATAGTTTCTTGAATGAGTTAAATGTTTTTTTTTGCCTTATTACAAAATATTAGAATGTAAATAATGCTGTGTTACATGTCACTTTAAGTCTGTTCTCCATCCACGATAATATTACAAATAAGTTTATATGCAGCTAGATTTTATTTTATCTCAACATTCATGTGTATAGTATATAGCATTATTAATTATGTTTCAACCAAGTATTAATTTTAGCTTTTAAAAGCAACATGTCTAACGAAACAGGATCATTTGCTAAAGAATTGGATGTAACTATGGAGGGACAGGAGTCATCAGGAAAGGTTAATATCAATTTATTCATTTTCTATGAGGTGCACAATGATTTCTCCATGTTTTATTTCTGGGATATTATTGCCATAATATACTATACTATGCATTTTAGGTATTAGCCTACTTAGGGAGATAATTTGATAGATTTTTTCCGTTCACCCTTTTGTAAAAAGGCAATAGTGAAAGGTTACGAATGGACGTTTTTGCAGAAAAACGTGGATTTTGGAGATAGCGGTAGGTGGGTCTGAATATGTTGTCATCTGTCCTTCCGTCCGTTACCATGACAACCAGCGTGCAGTACAGCGCGCGAGGATTGCTTGCGGAGATGTGATGTATAGATAGCCTGTGGTCAATGAATGCGCGGCGCGACTGTGTTTCAATGTACTTAACGGTGTAATGTATAGTATTAATTAATGATTAGGTTATAAGCGGGCCAAGCCCAATTTGTACGTGGCATGCGTAGTATAGTGTACTGATGTGTATGAATATTATTATTATGAAGTGAGCTGATTGGAGCTTATATTTATAGTTATAGTGAACGGAAATCTAGCGTCTGCCAAAACGAAACAACGGGCGCAATTCTTGTTCATTCTGAACTGGTTGCAAATAAAAATGATTATATCATCGGTTCTTTAATATTATCTGAAGTAGCCTGAGCTGTCTTATATAATAATTTGAAACAAAATGGAAATAATGTTAAGATTATGTTACAATATTATGTTCTTCACAGACGTACAAGCTGGAGGAGGTGTCCAAACACTGCGATGCTGAAAATATATGGATGGCAATTCACAATAAAGTATACGATGTCACCAAATTCCTTGAAGAGGTGGGTTAGGAATCTGCCTAGATTCTCAGATTTCTGTTATGATTAGTAACTATTTATATTCAGTATTCCTTTATAGTTTGTATCTAGTTTGTTTATTTGTGCCCTCTCAGCATCCTGGTGGCGTAGAAGTTATGCTGGAACATGCAGGATCGGAGGCTACCTATGCTTTCGAGGATGTCGGACACTCCTTAGACGCAAGAGATCTGCTTGCTCAATACTATATTGGAGATGTTCATGATGTAAGTTATGGTTTAATCACTGTTTGGGATGAATTCCCTTTCATTAGAGATCATTCCCTTGAACTTTTTATAATTCTGTTATAATTTGAATTCTAGCGAGAAATTAATCTGAATAAATTTGTCAGGGAAAAATGCACAAACGTATGAAAATAAAAATAAACTCTATTATCATTCTTATATTGTGTTTCATTTCATTTCATCATGTATTTTTGAACTAAATTTAACATCACTTTAAATATCTAATCAATTTTACTAAGTTTTGCATCATACCCTACTTAGTGCACGTTAAAAATCATAATCCTGATTTATGATGCTGATATCGTTTATCATTGCAGGACGATCGTACAGAAAAAGGAGCGGTGAGTTCTGTGTCTGACTCTTTTCTATCTTCTTACTGTAGAAATTCCAAGATAATAGTGATGACTGATGATAATGTGTAGTGACTAAATTAAAGACGAATTTGCTCTGAAATTTTGTCACAAATTGATATTCAGAACTTCGCTGAGAAATTCCTCTTGCGACCTATCATTACATTTATTTTCAGACAGCAGAAAGTGACGACAAAGGGTGTGTTATCTTATAAGTGATCAGATATTTAAATAAGTTCATCTTAATTAGTTGTTATAGTTGCATTCACTTTACCTTTTTATAAACGGCTTAGTGGCTTAGTGGCTCAGTTGGTTAATCCGCCTGGTATTGCTTGAGGTACCAGGTTCGATTCCCGACTCTGTCACTAGCCGTGGGGTGAGCGTCGTCGACGCTCAGCTAAGGATCCTGAGTGGTCTATGCAGCCCCCCGGTCCACTCAGCCAAATACTCGAGAAATCGGGTGTGAGGGTTAAATGAGGAGCTGCCCATTGCAGCAAAGTCTCGGGCGAAGAAAGTATGGTACACACTACCTTAATGTATAATTGAATCCTTCGGCTTCCTGTAATTGGCTGGTTACACATTTGTGTAACAATGTGGCTGTTGGAATGTCCGAAGTAAAATAAGTGTTGAGATTAATAAATCAGATCAAACTAATGGTAAATTTGCACGTGACCCAGTGCATGACGGATCCATCTATCACATGAATGTATGCGCTATAAAAACATATTATAATTAGATATTATAACTTTATGTATGCCCAAATACAGTGAGAGTGGGGTTAGTGTCGAACTGTAGGATCAAGTTCATCTTGAAATACATCCTAAGATATTTCTATTTAGATTGGCTTTGCATATTAATGGTTTGTTGGATGTACGTAATTCAATAGCCATTAACTGTGAGACTTTATTCGGGATGTTTGTGAGATCATATTATATCGTGTATTCTTGTACTGTAAACCTGAAATATAACAAAATAAAGGAATGAGTAGTATTAAATATTACCGAGAACTAAGCTTTGTTACTTTGGATTACACACACTTAGGGGTCGTTCACATATTACGTAATCAATATTTTAGCCTTTTCCCCCCTCCCCCCTCCGTAATCAACCTTAATCAAGACCCACCCCCTCCCCCTCCTGGCAGCAAAATTACGTAATCGTGGCCTGACCCCCGCCCCCCCCCCCCCCCCCCCTTTGACACTTTTCTCTACGTTTCATGGTACCCTGATAATTATGAGTGCCAGATATCATTGTTATGATATCCGTGGGGGGGGGGGGGGGGGGGGTGATCAGGTACCAAGTGCTGTACGTGACGTCGACTAAGTGCAACTTTGGAATTTACAAAAAAGATGCAACCACCCAACGATTCTGACCTTATGATCGAGCTGACCTTATGATCGAGCCGACCTTATTACGTAAATGCGGCACTGTGGCACTTGTGGCACTATCATGCGGCACTTGCGGCACTAACATGTGGCACTTGCGGCACTCACATGTGGCACTTGCGGCACTATCTCATGTAACATGCAGCACTTGCGGCACTCACATGTGGCACTTGCGGCACTATCTTATGTAACATGCGGCACTTGCGGCACTAACATGTGGCACTTGCGGCACTATCAGATTATGTAACATGCGGCACTAACATGTGGCACTTGCAGCACTATCATTTGTAACATGTGGCACTTTTGGCACTAAAATGCGCACTTTCGGAACTGAATTATATGTAATTACATTATACAAAATGAAACGACCGGTTGAGTCAGACAAATGTTTCAATCATGATACAAAACCATGATATCATCAGTGACAACTGAGGTATAGGAACTAAAATCAAAATTACAAAGCTAAATTTTAACATAAACATTCACTCGTGAAACAATACTAGGGGTTAGATATTTTTTAGATATCATTGAGCATAAGCAGTGATACAACGTATCTCGGGATGATCCGCAGAGTCTCGACTAGTTTCGGCTTACCGCCATCAACAGGATCGATGAATCATCTAGCGGGAAATTTGAAATCAATTATCAATAAACAACATTCCGAAAGTATAAAAGTAAAATTCAAAAGAAAAAGTCAGTAGGAAAATGTACGAAGTAGGTAATGTAAATAAGGTAACTACTGTGAAAGCATGGAGTGGGCCAAAACAACTACAAAACGTGCAGAGTAAGACTGAACTGAGATAGGAAGTTAAAAGGAGGAAACACGTTCGCAAGCAAAAAGTACACTTTACTGCTAATAACCTAAGAGAGAGTGTGTGTAAGTGTAAAGGGTAAAAATAGCCAAACATCGGACCTAATTCCCGGTAACTTTGCTCCTATTTAACCCAATAATCCTCGCTTTAAATTTCTCGATATAAATATCTTCAAACATGTTAAGTTCCTCTCTACTACATTGTTTAATAATACCCAAATTAAAATTGCTTAATTTCTCAGGAAGTTTGTCTTGGTGCATTTCAGATATGTGCATGGAAAGGGCCGATTTAGTGTAACAACCTGGTTTAAAAGCTGCCCTGTGGCTGTTCATTCGTGTGCTTAAAGTCAACCAGGTTTGGCCGAAATAAAAGCCACTATCGCACAGTTTACATTGGGCTACATAAATCACGTTTTCATTACTACAGTTAAGCCGCATGTCAATTCTGATAATCTGTTTGTTAACTGTCAAAGTACCATTTGCTGTTCCACTAGTTAGCTTGCATGTAAGACAGCGAGGTCTATTGCAAGCTTGTGATGTTATGTCCGCCGTATTGATGGAGTTGGGTGCTGAGTCAGCAGGTGTTGTCGCAAATCTCCGCCTCTTGAACATTTCAACTGCGATGTTGTTGTCCCTTCTGTGAGCTATTGTTATGGATACCTGCTTACCAATGATATGCTCAATAGTTTGTTTCTTATCTTCAAGGAAGCTCCTGATTTCGTTGAGTTCCTTGCAGTACTGTGTTGAGAGGATCAAGTTGCAGTGTTCACTATTTGGCATAGACTCATTGGTATTCTCCCTCGGTGTAAGGCGTTGATCCCGGTTAACCAGACTAGCTTTGGTTAATGCTGCCTTAAGTTCTGCATCCCTGTATCCGCTTTTCTTGAAGTCTCCCATAATCTCTTGTGCTGCTTCCATAAAAGTGTCCTCATCTGAGCATATGGTTTTTGTTCTTAGAAGTTGTGAGTAAGGAACGCTTTTGAAGACATGAGGAGGATGGTGACTGTTCCTCTGTAGAAAAGATCTGTTATCAGTAGGTTTCTTGAACAGAGAGGTAGCCAGAGTTACTGGTGTGTCGTGTTCTGGATCTGTTATCCTGACCTTAACATCCAAGAAGCTTAGCTCTCTACCTCCATCCCCTGTGAACTCTATCCCGTAAGTTGATGACTCACTGTTGAGTTTAGAGACGAAATCCTCAAATTCCTCTTTCGTACCTCTCCATATACCGAAAATGTCGTCGATATACCTTTTCCATAATCTGATGAGTACATCCCACTCTGGTATTTTAGATTTGAGATGTAGTTTGAGAAATTTGAGGAATGTGTCAGCCAAAGGTCTAGATATGGAGCCGCCTGTTGGTACTCCTTTGATGGCTTTGAAATACATGCCTCTGTACTCTAGAGTAGAGTTTTGAAGACAGAATTCGATGCATGGGAGTATGCCGCTTCTGATTTCAGGGGTTAGGGTTCTATCCTCTTCCAGTGCTGCTTTGACTGACTGTAGAACGATGGTCTGGTCCATGCTCGGGTAAAGGGCTTTCACGTCTAGAGTATAGAGTAATTCGCCTTCTTCTATTCCGACTTCTTTTATTTGGTGTAGGAAATCGTTTGTATCCTTGATGTATTCATCACTAGCATAGTTACGTGAAACTTGGCCGAAGTGGTGAGCAAGGAATTGTTCAAGCCTGGTTGTTGGAGATTGGGTAAGAGCGTGTACTAATCTTGATGGGGGAATGGTCCTGTCTAGGATTTGTTGGGGGTCTAGTTTGTGGATCTTGAATAGTGGGTATGGTATTCCTGTCCTTGTCTTAAAACAGGTTTTTCTCATTTTCCCTCCTCTTTCTGTGTACCCTGTAATGGTTTCTAAAATCTTGTTTTTGAAAGAGCCGTTATTGATTAGATTTTCAATAAGCAACTTCTGGTTTTTAAGAATTCCATCATTAGGGTCTTCTGGTAGACTGCTGTAACCATCTGATTTGCTAAGTTCAGCTCTTATAGCTTTATCCACATCCTGGGGGTTCATCACAAGGACACTTCCTCCTTTATCAGCTCTTGTGAAAACCAATTTACCAAGGCGCATCATGCTCTTACACCAGTTTTGGCCTCTAGTTTCCGCTTTTGTCAGGTTGGGGGTGGGTCTGCTCAGTACTATTGTATCTACAAGTTGTTTCATTTCTGTTTTCAGTTCTTCGATTCCTGGTTGTTGAAATGGGGGCCAACCTGTGCGCTTGATGTAGAGTGCTTTAGGAAATAGATCTGTAGGTACGGTGTCTTGCTCTTCCCGATTTTCCTCATCGTTGTTCGTGTTATGATGTGCTCTCCATGCTATATTTCTTATCAGCTCCCTGGTATCGTAGTGCAGTTTGTCCCTATCCGGTTTTCTGGAACTGACGAAACCTGTGCCTTTGGCAAGGAACAGCTTCGCTTCTGGTGGTAGGGTGATGTCTGAAAAGTTTATGACCATGTTGGAGTCATCTATAGTTTTCAGTCTAGCAGCCAAACGTTCCTTCTTTTCAGCTGCTTTACGATGTTTGTAGTGTTTCCGGCATCGTTTTTTATACGCCTGCTGGCTAGCAGAACGTTCGGTTCTTTTCTGATAAAGAGGCTGATCAGTAGGTGAAATAGGAGTATCACTCTTATTCTTAAATTTTACCGAGTGTTTCTTTACGAGTTTTTGGTGGGTGGTCGACTGGGTTTTATCCATGCTCCTTTTAAGTTGTATTATCTGCTGTTCTGATAAAACTTCTGTAGCTTGTTCAAGCATTTGATTTTCAACACCCCGTATTCTCGTGATATCACGGTTGGCCTCAGCGATTCCAAGATTGATAGCTGTTCTCCTAGTCTCTTTTAGAGCTTCTTCCATCTGTTGAGTTAGATATATGAGTCATTAGATTATAAAAGGAATTTCCGTTTATGGCGGCATTTTGTGAGGATTTCCGTCCTGGAGTTAAGTAAGTGTGGGTCAGAGGGTCGAAGTAAGATTTCTACTTCGATCCTCTGACCCACA